GATGGAGGCGGCGACAATGGCGTTGGCGGCGGAGGGGAGGGCGAGGCGGAGGGGGGCGGAGGGGAGGATACGACGGAGGATGGCGGCGGCGAGGGCGACGAGGGTGATGGCGAAGGTAGCGTCCATTCGATGCTGATGCTAACCTCGCCCCCCCTGCCGTATGTTCCAAGGCTCAGAGGAAAGGGCAGCGTCGTTATGAAAGGTCTGTCAACTTGCAGAGCAGCATAGCCGACGAGGCCGTCGATGCTGTCCCAGACGCCGATGTTGCTGTCCCAGACAGTAAGCACCATAACATCTCCATCGGCCACCGGATATTCGCAGCAATATGGCGGCTGCCATTGTGGCTCGACGCTGCTCCGGACTTCCGCAGTTGCGCACGCATGCACGCAGGAAGAGTAGCCGGGGTCGCAGAACTCGAAGAGTACGTTGACCTGTGGGGCTGCGACGATAGGATCAGGGTTGATGCGCGCGCTGTGGACACAGACTCGGAGTGGCATCATCGGAGCCGACGATGGCGCAAGGGATGTGGACCGGCGTCTCCTCGGAATGCCCAGCAAATGCAGCCAATCGAATCACGCTTCGGCACCGTTTGGGTACTTGAAAGAGGCCAAGGGCACAAGACACCAGCGCCGGTGCTATGAAGCGGTAACCAAGGTGGTCAACAAGCTGCGAGACCGGCCTCGGCCTCGTTCTGAGACGCCGCTGTCGTCTGCCGATCTCTTGCTCTCGCTGCTTCTCTCGCCTTTCTGCGTAACTCCGCCCTCCTCTCCGCGTATTTTGGTCCCTCGAGTTTAGCGAGCATTGATCGCGTCACACCTCGAGAAAATCGGTTTCTTTTTTCGGGTTTACGAAACCCGGCGCTCGCTTGTCCTCCGGTCGAGATACATGCAGAGTTGAAATGCTCGGAAGGTTGATTTTCGGTCTGCTCGCGCTCGCCGCCGGCATCGGCGCTGGGCTTGCCGCCTACTTCTCAAACCATCCCGACGAGCCTTCACCTCCGCCACCGCCTCCTCACCCGTCGCCATCGCCGCCGCCCTTCCTGAGCCCGCCACTCCCCCTCGACTCGTCGCCGTCGCCGCCGCCGTCGCCGTTGCCATCCCCGGCCCCTTCCCCTTCGCTGACTCCGCCGCCTCCGTCGCCAGCATCGGCACCGGCACCTCTCAACTCGCCGCCGCCGCCCGTTCTGAGCCCGCCGCCACTGCCCACTGAGCGCTCGCCGCCACCATCGGTGGCCCCCGAGCCGCCGACGGCTGCAAAGCGCGATCCGGAGGTGACGGCTGCAAAGCGCGATCCGGAGGTAAACGAGCAGTCGGTGGCAGTGGAGAGTGAGCCAGCGGACGGCTTGGCTCTCGTGGTGACGTCCGATGTCGGTGGCGCCGATGGAGAGGCCGAGTCGAAGAAAGAGGTGTGGCTTGGCATCGGGCTGGGCCTCGCCGCCCTCCTCCTCCTCGGAGGTGCCTCCCTCAAGTGCTGCGCCCACAAGTGCTGCGGCCTCGCCGTGCGAAAGGCGAGAGAGTCCCTGCGCTAGTCCCCGTGGCGTTGCTCCCTCGCCCCTGCTCGCTGGCTCGCCGCGACACCTGCGCACGCCGCACGCGACGGCACCATCCTCGTCGTAGACCCTCGCACGCGCTCTTGCACCCTCTTCACACGCCCGTGCACCCTGGGGTTTTAAACCCCCCCCCCCCCCCCCTCCCTTCCTCAGCGCACCTCCCCAGGAGGGACGGAGCAGCGCTCCGCCTGCTTCCCGCGCCTCGCAAACGCCCTCGCGGCAAACGTCGCGCCCGCAGACGCCGCACACGCTCGCGCACGCTCAGTGGACGGCGTGCCGGCTGCGCCGCCACCCGCCTACGCCGCCGCCTACGCCTCTTCGTACACGAGCCATGTGCTGCGCCCCGGAGATGCCGCACTCACATTCGAGCCCGCAAAGCATGCACCATGCCACGCACCCACACGTCTCACCGCACGCCGCTGGACGTCACGGCCTCTGGCATCGCACCCGGTTTCAAGGGCCCATACGTCGTCACAGCGCTGCCGCCACGCCCACATCTGTCTTGTCTGGTCTGCGCACAGGTACAGGTGCTGGACAAGGAGGAGGCGGACCGGGCGGAGGCCGGGAAGGACGGCGCCCTGCCCAAGGAGGCCCTCGAGGTCAAGGAGGCGCTCGAGGTCAAGAAGCCGGTGGAGGCGGTGTGCTAGTGTCTTGCAGGATGCCGATGGCAGCCCACGTGGCGGAATGGGGCCTCTAGACCCGTATTTACCGCAGACCGCAGACCGGCTGGGGCCGTCAACGTTGGGCTCGCCCGCTGACGGTTGGAGCTTCGGTGCGAGCATCCCCCGCCATTTTGCGACGACGCTCGCGACTCTTCCTTGGGCTGTCTCGCGGCCGCCGTCCGGCCCGAACAACCCTCGCACATGCCTCGCCGGAGCGCCCGGGACGCATGAGGCCCTTGCGCTTTGTTTTTCTTCTTGCATATAAAAACCCACGACAATAAAAGTCAAAACATGACGTGTGAGTGTTAGATTTGTTTGGTATTGCTAAAAATCTCTCTCTCTCTCTCTAAAAGTCTTATAAGCCAAGCCACCCGAGCCGAGCCCCATTTGCGAGGTCGAGCGTTGGTCGAAGCGATCGGTACGTAGCCTGGACGCCGCCCCTCAGCAGAACGCGCGAGAATCCTAACGGATTCACGCTACATCGTACTAACTACGAGCGAGAGAGGTGCAATCGCGGCGGGCGCCCGAGGCGCGCCGCCGCGCCGCCTTTCCTCGAGACATATGTGTATATGTCGTTCCTCGCGCTCGCCATCTTGCACCCCGGGACGGTCGGTAAGGGGTGTGTAGACTTTCGCCGAAATGCCATCCCGTGCGAAGAGCTGGAAAAGGCGAGGGCTTTCAATCGCAGGGGCTCAATGACGGCACTGCAGCGACTCGCGGCTACGACTGGGTGCGGAAGAAGATGGACCAAGCAGGGCTAGCTGGCGCTCGTTGGCATGTGGGACACAACATGTGTCCAAACAAGGGCGGGCCAAGGACAGGCAGCGGAGCAGGGCCTGAAGACAAGGCTTGCAACCTGATGGCACAGACAGCCAAGGACAACGCCGGTAAGGGTGGCCTGTTGAGCAAGCAGATGTCTGAGGCAGAGGCAACATTCTACTCGCGAAGCCTGATGACGTGCGCAAGGCTTCCTCCCCACCCGTCGGACCTCGCGGCCTCACCCCAGAAAATGAAGAACATCCATTACGCAGGCCACGGGTACGATCTTGTGAAGGGCAACCCGCAATGCTCTGGCGGCTGCGTCGAGTCTGCCGGTTTTGACCCTGGCTTCTTGGGCACACACAACGTGATCGATCTGACGTACTCGACGGGAAAGATAACGCCCGATGGCCGCTACCTAGTACCCGATAACCTCGACGTCGAGAGCGCTGTGACCTGCTCCCTCGTCACGTCCACCCACGCGGTGCACTCGACGTACGACTACCAAAACTCGCTCAACGTCGACGCCTCGATTGATACGACGTTTGAAGAGACGTGGCTCGGCAAGGTGCAGTTCAGTGCGAGCGTAGACTACCAGCGCATGTCGCACAAGATGGGCGCATCTGCCAAAACGGTTTACTCCACGCGAGCCGCCTGTTCTGTTTACCAGGCCAGCGTGCTCCCCTTTACCACGTTCAACCTGACAACATACTTTCGCAGCGCCGTCGCGACGCTCCCAGCAACATACGACGCGAGGCACTACCTTACGGTAATCGAGTCCTTTGGCACGCATTACGTCACCGCCGTGCAGATGGGCGCAAAGATGGTGCGCAACATCGAGTGCTCCTCCTCCGACATCGACTCGCTCACGTCGCAGGGCGTCGACGTCAAGGCGGCGGTGCAGGTGGACGCGTTGTTTGCGCACGTCAAGGTCGGCACGAACGTAACGTGGCACAAGAGTGACCACGACCAGCTCTCGAAGAAGGATTGCAGCTCATCTGAGCTCAATGTCGGCCTCGCGCCACCGGGCGGCCTGACGTGCGGCAGCGAAGACTGCAATCCAGCCAACATTGACATGTCGCCTAGGGAGTCGCGGAGGAGGAGGGATAATGGAGGTAACGTGGGAACAGGCCAACAGCCAGTGGGACGAACGAGGGCCGCGACGGCGGCTCAAGCGGGAGGGAGCGGAGACGGTGGGCAGAGAGCGAAGTGGGTGAGACTGATGATGCTCCTTCGACTTAGGGAGCGGTTCAGATGCTGGGCGGGCTTCAGGCTGGTGCTCACGCGAACAGGAATCGACGCGATGTGCAAAGCATACAAGAAGGGGAGAGGGAAGAGGAGAGACGCCGGTGAGGACGAAGCAGAAACTAGCGCAGACGAGAGCAGGGCAGACCCGGGGACTGGGGAGCCGGAGCAGACGGCATCGGCCGCCGAGGGAACGTTGGGAAGAGGCACGAGGAGGGCGGCGACTTCGACCGACTATGGAGGACCCGTCGCCAGACGACGCAGGGCAGAAGACGGTGAGGCGGAGCAGACGCGCAGGGTGAGACGAGGGAGGGAGCAGGACTTTGCGGAGATCAGCAGGAGGATGTACGAAGAGATTAGGAGCAGCAGGGACCCGAGGGACCATGTGGAAGACGGCTAGTGCTAGTCCCCCATCGGGAGGACGACCCCGGCTAGTCGCCGACCACACCCACAAAGAACCCTGCACAAAGATCGCAAGGGCGGGGGCCTGTTCCTTTTTACCCATCTCACAGTAGAGAGGTGTCCGTTTTTATTTATTTATTTAGCAGCCGCTGCCATAGTGTCAAGTGTGACACGCACGGGTGTCGGTGGTAGCGAGTGAGCCGCGCGCGCGCGCGCGCGCAGCGCGGCGCGGCTCGGTGGGAGTCGTGATGTGTCGCACAAGGGATTCGATCAACGCCCGTCGGAACACTCACAAACATCGAAATTGTTATCGTGGGTGGCGTAATTGACGTGTAAGTCTGTGCTGGCGCGCTAATGGCGCGTTTGATATTGGGATGGTGTGAACTCGCGCCATGGCTCGTCCATCATCGAGAGGTCTGCCCCTCGCTGGGTGTCACTCTAGCCTCTCCTAGCTAAACATCCTAGCCGCCACCGCCTTCTCGGCCTTCTTCGCCTCGGCCTCGCGCCGGCCGCACTCCGCAAAGGCGTCGCGCACCGCGCGGTCCTTTGGGTCCGCGGTGGCCGCCGCGCGCAGGTCGGCCTTGGCGGCAGCAAAGTCGCCCCCGTGCATGCGCGCGGTCCCGCGGCGGTAGAGCGCCTTG